GGCGGCGGGGCAGTGTGCGCCTGTCCGGCGCTGGCTGCAGCAGCGCGGTGTGCTTCTGCTTTGTTACAACTTCCAGAAAGTCTGGAGTTTCTGGGGGGCTTTGGGGTTTTTTTAATTGTTGTTTTGTTTTTCCTCTGGGCTGCTGATCTCTGCTTTTCTGCCCCCATCCCTTCCCTTTCTTCCTCTGCTACCTGGCACCGAGTGTGCCTTTGTTTCTTCTAGCCTCAATGTTGTCCCGCTTTCCTGAAGCTTCTGCAGAACAACTTGCAGCATGTACCTTAACAGGACGGGGTTGGCAAAAAAAGAAACTCCTTTGGTAATTGCTCAGAGGTCTTTTGAAATGCTACTGTTTGTTTTCTTTCTCTTCTAGATTATTTATGCAAACCTGAAGACAACATTTACAACATTGACTTCACCAGATTTAAGATCCGGGACCTTGAAACTGGAACAGTGCTGTTTGAAATTGCAAAGCCATCTCCTTCAGGTATGTCCCACTAATATTGCAGGGAGGCTAGAGAGACTGGGGGAGCTGAGAAAGTGCATTGCAGGACACATGCAATCCAAGCAGAAAGTTCCTTAGATATGTCCTGGTGACTAAATTCCTTTCCTTTAAGCATTGGACTGAGAAACTTGTAAAAATGTGAAGTGATTATTGTGAGATGGGGGAGTATCATCAACTGCAGATCTTCCCTCACTGGCTGATACAGTTTCTTTCATGTGCTTTGGCAATTGTGAGAAGGGATATCCTTCCTGTGAGGTTGAGGGTGGTTATTTCAGCTCCAAAGCTGCCACCAAGGCTGTGCCAGCTATCACAGCAGATCTTTTCTTTATTACTTAGTGCTAGTATGACTCTCAGACCTATTATTAAACACCTTTATATTCAGTCCCTGAGTAATAGCCAGCTTGTCCTGATGCACCCGCTAGCCAGTGTTACTTTATGTTTATGCTATTAGCAGAATAACTCTGAGCTGGTGCGTTTTCTAGAGCAAGATGATGAGGATGAAGATGACAGCAGTGAACTGGACGCTAGTGCAGGCCGCTTTGTTCGTTACCAGTTCACCCCAGCATTTCTCCGTCTTCGGACTGTCGGTGCAACGTGAGTATGAGTTCAGAGAAAGAAGGGAGAATCAGATGTTTACAAAGCATCACTTGACAGTTTATAACAAAACTGAGTCAAAGACTAGAGAGAACGCGTCTTACACTACAAATGTCAAAGTCTCTCTCTGCGATGATCTGTTCGATTCTTGTGTAGCCTTGGGTCCAAGGCTCTGTTCTTCCCAGTAGGAATGTTTCTTAGCTGTTTTTTTTCTTACTTTTTGGATGCAGAGTGGAATTCACAGTGGGAGAAAAGCCAGTGTCAAACTTTCGAATGATTGAGAGGCATTACTTCCGAGATCGCTTGCTGAAGAACTTTGACTTTGATTTTGGCTTCTGCATCCCCAGTAGCAGGAACACATGCGAGCACATCTATGAATTCCCTCAGCTCTCAGAAGACCTTAGTAAGTATCTCCTTTGCCACACTGTGGCGTTTCATTTGTGTCTGCATATGCTCATTTTCTATCTCTCTGTACTTGTAAAAGAAGTTGTGACTGGGATGGGGAGGGACAGGAATAGGTAGATGCAGGTTCCTGGTTTAAGCTGTGTGTAATCTTGACTGAATTACAGATTTGTGCTGCAAATTATCCTTCTTTGAAAATAAAAGCCTAAGACAACCTGTGTTGTCAAGTCACAGGCTGCAAGAACTGATCAGAGTCACAGGGCTGACACGCCTGATGCCTACAGTGTAGCCTAGAAGATAACAAACCCCTAAAAAAGGGTTCTCTTGGTAGCCATGCATCTGTTTTCAGCATTTGCTTGTTACAGCTTGAGCCTCCTGCATTGGAACAGAACTGGCTCTTCTCTGAGGAGTGTGTTTTTGAGCCTACCAAGATCTCTGCAAATACACATTGTGCAGGGTATGTTTGGTCTCAGGGGATGGAGAGAGCAGGAGGATGTGGGCCCTTCTGTGGGTGCCCAGGTGCCTGTGTGAGTGTGGGGAGTGCCACTGCTTTTTCATTTGTGAATTGCTACCTCTCTGCTTACAGATGTGATTGCTGCTCTGCTCTAGTTGTGGCTCTGACAGCTTCTGAGGTCGTTTTGTGTGAGATTATTCCATCCCCATTTGTTTGCTTTTGACAGCACTTGTCCTGTTAATAGGAAGAATAGGAGGGGGCAGGCCAGAGCTTTTGAAGCGTGCTCAGCAGAGCAGTTTGCTTCTCTTACTTGGGTAGGGCAGAGCATCAGCCTGGTAAATCCAGCAGAGCGGCAAAGTCCTTTTTACTCTGACTTTGTGCTGTCCAGTGGAGTGTGGCAGGCTTTTGAATGTAATTGAGCTTTCTCTTTCACAGTCCGTCTGATGGTTGAAAATCCATACGAGACCCGCTCAGACAGCTTTTACTTTGTGGACAACAAGTTGATTATGCACAACAAGGCCGACTATGCTTACAATGGAGGACAGTAATCATTCTGTGTCCACTGGATGCTGTGATGCTGTTAACCGTTCAGATATCCAGGAGTGGACTGGAGTTGCTGTTTTGTGCAGCACGGCTTTTTGCCAAACCTTTTCTCCTTGCATGAGGCTGAGAACATGAAGCAAAGACAACAGCTCATGAAAGCAAAGGAAATCTCCCTGCAACACTTCTCTGTCTGACACTCGACGTATCCTGCCTCTCAAGTCTCTCTTTCTGATTTTCTTCTGGTACCTTGGTTAGGTCATGGATCAGAGGCGCTGTTAGAAAATTCTTGCTGTTACAGTCTTTATAGTTGGTTGCACTTTTAGTGCTTCTGATGTTTCACCTGTTTGGTGACTACCCTCTTTAAAGAGATCAGATTGTTTGAGTAAGCTATTTCTTAGCAGGAAAATTTTCCCCCTTCAAGTAGCCAATGATGCCTGAAGAGCAGATCTCTTCTTCAGTTGGATAGATCATCTCTTTAGTGCACAGTGGTTTAGTTTGTAGCATGGCTGATACTGCTTTATAGGGTGCATCCCAATATTCTCCAGTGGGAAAGAAAATAAGAGACTAATTCAGCTCCTGAGCAGTGCAGGACTCTTCCTTCTGTCTCCAGGGGCCTGAGCTGCCCCTGGGAACAGCTTTATCTGTGTCTTGCCAGATATTTCAGTAGAGATACGAGATAGAGGGGGGAAAAAAGGGGCTTTATCCAGGATGGTCATCGAGTCAGTCTGACAGCATTTCTATTTGAACTCTTGTGAGCAACTTGTTGGATTTTGAAGCTCAGGGGTCAACCTTAGAGCTGCAGTTAATCTCACTATATTTACCATTTATCCTGCTTCCTTTTGTGTAGGAATTTTGGCTCTTGCTGCAGAATGTATTGCTTTTTAGATTGTGCACGTTGTCTGTCTAGCTGGGCTGGAGGGGAGTTGTCGGTCTAGTGGGGCTTGAGAGTAAAAAGGGAGAATGTGGAAAATCACCTGAAAAATATGTAGGAAGCAGAACTTCCTAGGCTTCAATCTCTCAACTTTTAAACCTGAATGCTGCGTCAGATGCTGGTGACAGTGGTGTTACCAGCTCATTTGCTTTGTTTCAGTTGAGGTATTAGTAACTAAATGCTTCCCAGGTCAAATCACTCAGTGTTACAGAGTGGGATTCTTATGGAGTGAGAATTGTCATGGTTCTCTTTTTAGTTGAGCTCCCATCACTGCTTTGCCTACTTAGCTGCTTATTTATCATTTAGGAAGTTGTTCTGCTGAGTTAGTTATTGCCAGACCAGAGGGTATATTTCACAGCTGCCTTTGGGACCTGGTGATAGGAAACAGCATCATGCAGTGGGAAGGAGAGACTCATGTCTTCCCAGCAGCCATGCTGGGGCCCAGCTCCTGACTGTGCAAAATCTCAGCTAACAAAATCCTTTTCTGCCTGTTTTGCTGGCTCTCAAGGGTGGTGTTTTTCCTGTCCCTTTGCTGGGCTGGTCAGTTGTGTCTCTCGTATGTGGGAGTTAGGTTGTGTCTAGGCTAGAGACATTTGCTAGTTCTAGTTCCACTTATTCTTGAGACAGTTGAAATCTTAACTCCTTGGTGAGTACAGTTGGTTAGCTGCTGTGTTAAGTATGATTCAGCATAGTTTACGTTTTAGCAGGATTAAGTGCAGTGGGCATCAGAGCCTGGAGCCTTTTAATGCATAGACAGCAATAGAAAACCACTGCCTTTACCTCACAGATAATGATGTTAACTTTGGTGTAGAAGATCAGCTGGCATCAGGGTAAGCAGTGAGAGTATGTGGGGTGGCAGCATGAAAATCTCCAGCTCTTGGGAAGGTATTTAATTATGATTAACCACAACAAATGACCTGTTCTGGGTGGAGCATTAGTTATGAGCAACCACAACAAATGTCTTGGGAATGTGGAGGGGCAAGGTCTGCGTGGCTGAAAGACGAAGAGCAATTCTGCTACCATCAATCCCCTCCAGCATCTCCAAAGGCACTGAGGCAATCTTGTTACTTCAGAATTTGTTAAAGCTGCTTGTGGGGTGGAACTTGAGATGCCTCTTGCAGCTATTGTCTTCAGAAGGCCTCATGCCCTGATGGTGAAGTGGGAAACATTTGTTTCGATGGAAGAACAGGTAGTTACTTGTGACAAGGCAGAACTGCCTGGAAGTGTGTTTTTCATCCTGAAGTGTTCTGAGATGGTCAGGATAGTGTCTGAAGAGCCTGCTAGTTACTCCATGAGAAGTTGTAGCATATTGAGCTGAATTTGTATGTAGTATAAACCCAGGTGCCTTTGAATGTTACTTTTATCACATTTTCTGTATGAGGCAACCTCTTGCTTTTCTTACAAGCGTGATGATTCCCATCTGTTTTCTGTGTTGCTGCGTAAAGGTTCGTAAAAGGAAGATAGACTGTTGCCAGAGTGGGCAGCAGCAATGACTGTACAAGCAAATACCAACTTGTGTGAGCTGTTTGTAGTCTCAGCGTGCAGCTCTGCACGGCCGGGGTGTTTGTAGGGGTGTGGGTGCCATCTAGCCGCTGCTTTGCAGAGTGCTCTGCCAAATGGAAATGAGGCATTTGATGCTTCTAGGAAAGTGGATTCCTGTCTTCAGTCATTACCTCTGCCCAGTAGTGATGAGAAAAAAAGCATTGAAGCAGTTGCTTTCCCGTTGGTGAATGTATCAGCTCCTCAGCAATAAGAAAAGGAGAACTGGAGGAAAGACTTGCAGGCAGCAGCAGCCCCCCTCAGTTTCTAGCTGAATTTGTTTGCTTTATCATATTAGGTCTTTGCCCAAAAGACATGCTGCAGAAAAAAAGTCCCTACCAGAGGGCAACCCATCACTAAAAAAGTGTAATCCAAAAAGTCAGGGATTTCTAAACTCCTGTCCCCACTTTGACCACTTTGCTGAGGTTCCTTTTCTCTTAGATGTTTTCTATAGTGTCTTCTCTTTGTGGCAGGGATGATGTCTTTGGTAAACACGGTTTAACAGAGCATCTTCCTTCTGGATTGTGTGCTCATGCTTTAATGATGAGTCAAAGCTACTCATGCCAGTGAGTTAGGAAGAAATTCCAGTGGGATCTCATCCTTGTCAGGTGGTTAGTCTGTCCTAGCCAGGAGCTGAACGCAAGGGAGATGCTTTCAGTGTCAGTTAAAGTTTGAGCAAGGGAAAAGGTATCTGTGCAGACAGCTTCTCTCAGGTCATGTGCTGAGTTGGAAGAGAAAAGAGTTGGGATCATACTGTGTTCTGCTATAACAAAAAAAGGGACCAAACCCACAAACTCATTTTAAATCTTTCCAGTATTTGTCCTCTTAGGACCAGGACCTTTTTTTTCACATTTTTGAGGCAAGTGCTTTGGATCCATGCAAACAAACTTTCTGGACAGCTATTTTCATCATTGACTGAGGAATACATATTGCACCTTGTGAAGGAAGGTCATCTCTCCTCATATGGACTGGGTACTGCTGTCCCTGTCCTCTGTTTTTGCTAGGAGGTGTCTTCCTTTTTATGTTTCCTTTGCATTTTTAATGTCTCTTGCTGCAGAGAAGCAGCAGCAGCCTCCTCTCTGGTGCTTGAGGATGTTTGTTCCGCTTCTCCGAGGGTTCAGGAAGAATAAAACAAGTGTTCAGAAGGCAGAAATGAACGAGGACGGTGGTGACGGTGAAGCAGCGAGGTCCAAAGGTGGTAACTTTACTTCTCAGCTCTGTGTTTCATTACATCCTCTTCAGCCGTTCCCCAGTGTTTGCCTTCTGCCCTGCTGTCCTGTCACATCAAGCTACCGAGCCTTGTGCCACCCCAGAGCGTGGCCTGATATCCAGTGTCACCCTCGGAACGCCGCCATCTCCCCGTAGCCTCACGATGGGGACAGGGCTGAGGGACAGAGTCATCGCCTCTTCCTTCCTCTGCAGCAAAGGGAAAAACCAACACCAGCAAATACTCCGGGACACGTATTTGTACCTCTCACAGTGTGGCCTTGGGGCTGCGGGCGCTGTCACCTCCCCGGCACTGTCCCCTCCGGGTGCTCCTGCCGCGGCCCCTCCTG